GAAGCCATAGGCCTTGCCATTCCGAACCCGCTCAAAGAAAGATCTGCCAGTAGCTTTTCGGCGTTGCGTTTCTCCGGTAGCCTCACCATTGACCTGGTTGAGATCACGTAGCTGTGAGGAGTACTGGAAATGGATATAGTCTTGCACATCCTGGAGCTCCTCCATGGTGGCGGCCGCAGCAAGTTGATCCTCCACGTTGGAATCATTCACGTTGAAGAGATTTTGCAGGTTGTCGTATGTCTTTTTAATTGTACCACGCTTGTCGACCAAAGCGCGGAATTTGAGATCATGATCGAAGATATCCCATAAATCAGTCATATTGAGGAGTTTCTCAGCGCGGATGCTGTATTGGGCGGAGGAGTCGTCGGGATCAGCGCCATTGGCCATATCTTTGACGGCATGAATCATGTAATCCTTGCGATGCTGGAAAATGAAGGGCACTTCCCAATCGTCCGTGATTAGGAATTCCAACATCTTGGCGACGGAGCGCTGGAATGGTTCGCGCAATTCAGGATCCATGCGCTTCTTGAGCAACATCAAGTTCGAGATCCATACTGCCTCCTCCCGGAATTGGTCCTCGGACAATGTCACATGCTTATAGGGCTTGCGAGCAACCTGATGGCGTTCGGGTTCATCGAGAAGACGAATTTCGTTATCATCCTCCGTCAACATCCTCTCGGCCAGCTCGGATGGTTCAAAGACATCCTTCAAGTCTAGGTGACGTTCTTCCGTTTGTTTGTCGGCGTCCTCTTGGTCTTCCATCTGCAGTGCAAAATCGTACTCTGTGCCATCACCGAATGCAGCGCGCATATCCTCAAGTGCATTTTCATCCAAGCCCGAGGTATCAGTCGGAATCAAGCCGGTCTTGTTGATTCTGGAAGCAGGCGCAACCCCGAGGTCATCCCGTTCGCGCTGGGCCTCATCGTCGGAGAAGGTATCTTCTTCAATAAAATCGTCCATCTCATCGCGCAGACCACGGCGCTGGCCTGGCCTAGCATATTGTTGCGCTTCTTCCTCTTCGTCCGAGTTGAAAATATCATCGACGCCGTGAGACGGCTGGTGGCTCTCGCGATCCTTGCCTCGCTTCAAGCGCTTAAACTTTGACTGTTACCAGAGCATTAGAATCTTGTAAAGTCATGATCTGCAGGTTACATACCTCAGTGGCTGGTCCACGATGCTGACTTGGGCCATGTCCAATGAGCTCCAGATCTTCTTCGTCAAGGTGCTCTTCTTCGCGAGCAGTGCGTGGACGTTTCCTGTGTTTACGAGCGGCGCGTTCTTCTTCCTCGTCCTCATCAACAATGAAACCTTCACGGACCTAGGAATTCGTCAGCAAAGAGATACAGCCCGGATAAGGGTCAAAACTGACGGCGCGAGCAGCCTCCTCGTCATCTTCTTCTTCGTCTTCCTCCTCGCTCGAGTCATTGTAGTGGTTGGCGGTGCCCGCGCCCTGGCGGCCCTCGGCATCATAGTCGTCGGCGACTTCCTCATCGTCGTCATCCATGATCGCCTCACCCTCGATCAGGTCGTTAAGGCCCATCTTGAAGTAAAGATCCCTATTGCTAGGGACCTAGGAGAATGCGGGTGGGGATGGAAGATTCAAGATACAATTGCGCAGTTGCGACACCAGGTAGTGCCCAGCACGTTGGGACGGTCAAAAGTGAAATAGGGAAGGTAAAACTGAAGCAATAGTTGTCAAGAGGAAGAATCACGGCCATCGGCGAAGGAGGATGCAGGTGGCGGTGATTGGCTAGTGCTGGTGTGGCTAGACGCTAATCCTATTGAGGCAGCCTTACTGTGGCTTGGGCAGTTTATGTCACGTGATATTGTCTTTGTGTGTACATCGTACATTAGACATTCAACGATGCCCTGGTCGGATCCTCAATATGCATATCGCTTTGTACTATCAATGTAGGGTCGAGAATATAGACTACACCTAAGTTTGGACATTATCATTTACCTCATTTAGCCATAAAATCCGTCGTGTAGAGCCACAAGTACCCAAAGCCAGCCCAAAAGACTGGTGGAACCCCCCTGAACACCTGTTGTTTCATTCATTGTACTGGCTTTAAGAGTTCAGAAGATCATCTCTCCTTTTCTCCTCCCATAATACCTGTAAAAACCAACATACTTCTGTTTGGCGCCGACCGGCACATTTTGGTCATAGTTGGTCGAATCGACGCGCCCGAAAGGCCCAATCAGCGTCGCCAAGAACATCGCAAGGTGATATCGGCTTCCCCGCTGTTAGCTCGGGGGTTCGTTCTGACCACTCTGATCCCATCGGCTTGGGTAACGCGGACTTGATATCACTTGGGCGGCTGGGCTCTTCGTTTTCTTTTTCTTTCATAACTTCCTCCTTGTGCAACTCCCCCTCCCCCCCCCCCAACCAACCAAGCGCCATGGCGGACCAGTTCCAGGCTCGTACGTTGAAACGCAAGAATGTCAAAGGTCTTGCTCTCAATGCAGCCCCTAAACCCACCTCCAATACTACCGATGGCGATGCACAGGCCCCTGGGCCTGTTGGGAATAGCGAAATCAACAACACAGATACGCTCGAAATCGGACTGGAGTTTCGCCTCGATCTTCGCAGTGAAGACCTGGTCACATTGAAGGAACTCGGTGCTGGAAATGGAGGTACTGTTTCCAAGGTGATGCACGCATCCACCAAGGTGGTGATGGCTCGAAAGGTGTGTGTTGTGTATTGTGCTTCTACTTTTTGGCTAGCTCTGATTCCCTCATTCCCCCGCAGATTATCCGTGTAGAGGCCAAAGAGAACGTGCGGAAACAGATTCTACGAGAACTGCGTGTCGGACACGACTGCAACTGTCCCAATATTGTCACTTTCTATGGTGCATTTCAAAACGAAGCGAGAGATATTGTGCTATGCATGGAATATATGGATCTCGGGTAGGTGGACCGATATGGCAAACAAAGAGGATATAGCTGACGTACAATCAGATCTCTCGACCGCGTTTCTAAAGATTTCGGCCCCGTTCGAGTCGATGTGCTAGGAAAGATCACCGAGTCGGTCTTGGCCGGTCTTGTCTACTTATACGAAGCCCACCGCATCATGCATCGTGATATCAAGCCGTCCAATATCTTACTCAACTCCCGCGGCAACATCAAGCTTTGTGACTTTGGTGTTGCTACCGAGACAGTTAACTCGATTGCCGATACATTCGTTGGCACTTCCACATACATGGCTCCCGAACGAATTCAGGGAGGCGCCTATACGGTCCGTTCCGACGTGTGGAGCGTGGGCTTGACGGTCATGGAGCTGGCCGTTGGAAAGTTCCCCTTCGATCACTCCGACTCTGCTGCCGGCAACCGTGCTAGCGCAGGACCGATGGGCATTCTGGATCTACTTCAGCAGATTGTGCACGAAACAGCTCCTAAGCTGCCCAAGAGTGATGCCTTCCCGCCTATCTTGCATGACTTTGTTGGGAAGTGTCTCTTGAAGAAGTCCGAGGAGCGCCCAACCCCACGAGAGCTTTATGTATGTTTATCTCTCTCTCTTTGGTCTACAACTCTTTTTCACGTCCACTAACTCCTTCCAGGATAAAGATGCCTTCTTGCAGGCCGCGAAGCGCACACCAGTGAACCTCGAAGGATGGGCAGCGAGCATGATGGATCAAGACAAACGCAAGTCCTACTTGGGACCACCAATATCAACATCGCTCTCTAGAGAGACCTCGACGCAAACCTCAAACCCGACCTCATCTCCTGCCGCAGCTCCCACATCAGCCACTATCGGCAAACCCCCTCTCATCAGCAAGCCAACCCGAACCCCACATCAGTCACCCTTCCCGTCAAACCCAGTATCAGGCGACATCCCTCTAAAGATCGCCAACGAGGTTCCATCCAGCCACCGTTACTACCCCCAGTCCCAACCCCAGCCCCAGCCTCAATACTACCCATCGTCCTCGTCCCGATCCGCGCGATCTCCGCCACCGCCCTCTCTGGAGCACCTCTCGCTGGAAGCAAACGACGAGGACAGCCGATCCGGCCGTCGTGCGATGCGTCAGCACCTCAACGAGCCTGCCTCTGCCATTGATGCCCCATCTCGCCCATTCATGAGCCCCCGCTCTACCAGCTCCAATAACTCCAACCCCCGCACAAACCTGCACTCCACGACGATGCCCATCCGCACCGCGCCTCCGACTGGCCCGCCTCCCCCACCGCCTGTTTCGGCAGGCGGAAACTGGCGCATCCAACCGGGAACCACCCCCCGGTAATTTGGTGATGATTAGTTGATCTACTTGGATACATATTCGTGCTATTTCCTTTCCCTTGTCATGTCTATGTCCAGATGGATGGGAATACACACATGAAAAGCCGATGTAATACGATCTCGGCTTTGATGATTGTGCCCTCCTGCTATTTCCTTGCCGGCTATGTTCTGTCTGTGTATTCATGGCGCTCTTGATAGAACAAAAAATGAAGCCAAGACAAGCTGCCTTAACAGCAATTTCTTTTTCTTCCATCGATATATAGGTATCCCTCTCTTTTATGACTGCTTCGATTCAAGCATATGGCAACGAACCCTATCTTGTTCATTTCCGACTCTATCTTTATCCAATGGGATGTCTTCCAGCATTATACGGCGTACATAAATAAGTGCAATCTCATACTCGTTCAAACTCTGGCAGAATCATGTGGATATAATCAATCTATATTTCAAATCCCGCACTCATTTAACTAATGTGTGGGATGTTTGCTATCCAGGTGCCTATAAACGCTCCAGGAGGAAGAAAGGCCAATGAGCGAATCACCTCGACTGTTATAAATAGTCTCGCCAGAATAAACATGATCACGATGAGCACCATCAAAATTTTCTCAACCAGTTCTAGTATCTTTGGTTGGCTTTCGACCTTGATAACCTTCACGCAAATTGGCCCCAAGATTTGATCAATCAGATAGGCAAATGGCATGGCAGTGGCCGTTACAACCGAGCTCAGACGCCAGAATAGTTTCTCCAGGGCTGTAGGGAACTCAAAGTTTCATGCTACGCAGTGGATGGCACCAAATAGAATCAGAGCAAACAAGCAAGCCATGCTCATCACGTATCCTGGCATATTCTTTAGGGTATCTCTGTGCGTAGCGTCATTGGGTACCCAGATGCTGTATCTAGGGCCGTAGCCCAGCGGGCCGGCATTGGCCATGTATATCAAGTCTTCCGCAGAAGGATGCCTGACAGCTTTGATGATATAAGATGTCCGGACATCTTGGGGCTTACTGATCAACATGATAAATGTGATTGAGGAGCAAATTGCGAAAGATAGGGTAAAAATCTCGAGCTGGCTTGTTGGGAGATTTTGGCTTAATCGCACGCCGAGCTGAATGAACATCCACGACATCTGAAGTAATGCTAGGATCTTGACGACAAGATCACTACTGTTGTGATCATCTAGAGAATCGTGCGGCATGTAGGGCAGTTTATCAATGATTCCAAGCTCACGGGCAAGGAGAAGCTGGTTCGCGTCTACCACCCACAGATTGCCACAAAGAAGAGTGAGGTTTCCAACCCATTCTGTGTATGGCATGTTGAAAATCCTTTCTTCCTTTAAGTAGCCCTGAGAAACCATGCTGTTTGCTTTTTTGATGGCAAGGATGTTAGTCCTATCCAATGCCCAGTCGATCTTTGCCAATCGCATTCGAGATCCTCTGCATTGACTTCTGAAGTGCCTGTGGGGATCGCATTCCCGGAGGAAGATATTTTATAAGGGGTATCTCTTGAGTAGCGGTGATAGGATCTGAATTGGCAAATTGGATATGGAATCCTCCCATGTTGGCGTAGTGTATATGAGAGTCAGACCATGGGACGCCATCTCTCTCCTGGATCTCTGCAAATCGGGCCTTGAGTATCCTGACAGAGCACACTTCACTGCAAGCCATCCCGAATATCCACTCTGGGGCGAAAATGTTGATGATCATCCATTTGAGTTTTTTGGAGAATCGCCAAAGCGTTCGCAGATACTTTTGACGTTTCTTAGATGGTGTCGACTGGATTGGGACATTGAGATGGAGAATAGACCAAGTGCAGAGGCCTATCACGCTGAGGCAGGACCAGACAATATTCAGAGTCCCTCGAGTGTTTGGCGAGAAAACAAAGCCTGCCGTCTCTGGGGGATGTGTACAATTGCTTTGGAATATCTGCATCCTGCTAATAGCTCTCGAGTCAAGATGGCTGCCATGTTGATTTTGCGCGGGATATTGTATATAAAACCAAAGCGCTATGGGCACAGCAAATAGTTCAATCGTTTCAACGCTTCCTTACTAAAGACCAGCAGAGTTTTGTTCTCTATAGTCATTGGTTGACTCAATGATGCTGGGCGGCTTAAGGCCCGGGCCAAGTCTATAACACATCAGGATTAACCGCTATGACGGGATAAATATAGAACAGATCAGTAAATACATTCTAAAATACCGATTCTTGTATACTGGTCCTTGTACGTCTTGTATGTAGCGTATCTAGGCAACTTACAATAGGTTTGTTTCAAGGGCCAATCTGTCGCATATTGTTTCATATATTGTTTCATAGAGGGAAACAACAGCGAAACAGATAACACTACAACAGACTCAATATCTGGGGTGGCTGAGGATGGTGTAGTCTACAGTGTGTTTGATTAGAAGCATCTTGAATGACTGGCTGAAAAGTTATGTATTCAGCTGTAAAAATATAACCGAGGTGTACATAAAGAGCTCATGTGTTCATAAAGCAAACGGTTCCTCGAGACCAATAAAAACATATAACAGGGGTAAGTCAAACCCAGCAAAATGATACCGCAAATGCATAAGCCAAACAAAACCGAGTCCTGAACACCAAACATACCCCACAACAAATCAGTCAACATATTCTCTATTTCATCATGAGCTCTGGGCCAGCTAGCTGGCTGGGACCAGGGGGTGCATGGGCAACACTCGGGGTCGATGGCGCAGGAGCAAGGTCTGGCATCGGGATGGATATAGACGACTTTCCTCCCCGAGTGCTGTTACTTGCACCGCGGCCAGAGGTCCCATTGCCGCCACCACGGCCACCACGGCTTTCATGGGCGGTGGATGCAGTAGTAGCAGCGCGGTCGCTGCCGCCATCGGTCTTCTTGTTGCCACGCGGGCGGCGTGAAGTGCCACCCCGAGAGCCAGGTCCACGCAATGGTAGGCCAGTATCTTGGGAGACGGGCACAGCAGCTGCAATAGGAACGTGTGGGTGCGAGGTCACGGTCCGACCGCGACCTGTCCCTCGCCCACGGCCACGGCCACGTTTGATTGTACCGTCGGCGCTGCAGATCATTAGTAAATGTGTAAAAAGGAGATAGAGAGTAGACATACCGTTCCACCTGGACCTTTTCTCCCTCTGGAACTAGTGGCCCGCTGTAAACAAAGAACCCGTCCTTGCTGGCAGCAGCCTGTTCCTGCCACACCATTTCGGTGTCATCCACGAATGGATCATCACGGTCATATTCCTCGACCTTCTTGCGTCGCTTCTTCTTTCCATCGCTAGCCTCCGAGGGCGCACCGTTGGTTCCTGCTCCAGTGCCGCTCATGGGGACGTCACCATCCATATCACTATCGCGTTCCGCATCGAGGCTCAGGTCCTCGTCGGCACTCTCGCCGGCAGATATTCCTTTAGCACTCTTATCATTTCGCTCCAACGCGGCTCCGGCAGCTGCCACACGAGCCATGCGCGCTTTGTGAGCGGCCAGACGAGGGTGCAAGGCAGCGAAGCCATATTGCTCTTCTGCAAGCCGTGCGAAGTTAACAATCTGGTTGCCCTTTTGTAGCGGAACATGAACGATGATGTTGGGTGTGCTGCGCGAGTCGGGCGACTTTGCAGAATCATCCCCTCCGCCGAACAGCGCGTTTGTGATCAGGCCAGATCCTTGAGGCAGATGGGGGGCTTCTTTGGCGGGTCGAGCTGGCTTGGGAGATGAGGCCTTTGACGCCGGTGCAGTAGCTGTGCTCTTTTCTTTTTTGGCGCTGGGTGCGGGCTGCTCTTTGGGGTCGATTTCCATTGATTCAGCTGGTTGCTGTTTGGGCGGAGTCGACTGCACAGCGGGTTCGGGTTGCGCGGGGGGTTCAGGCTGGCGCATCGCTGGCGGAGACGGTTCAAGTTTAGGAGTTTGTGATGGCGTTGGCCGCTGTTCGGTAGGCGGGTATGGGGTGGTGTAGGGCGTGGACTGCGACATGGCCTGTGGGATTTGCATGGCTCCACGGGAAGTAGAGGAAATGGGAAGGGGTGATGGTGCTAGGGACGTATGTGAGGGTGTGGGAACCATCGCAGGCGGGGCCGGTGAAGAGAGGCCGGATACATGGCCGGAGGAAGAGCGTTGAAGCGGGTTGTATATTTGTTGAGAGTTCTGGGCTGGTGGGTCGATAATGCTTGAGATCGCTGGCGATGCACTGGCACGATAAGCATTGCGAGGAGAGACCGCGCGAGCAGAAGGACTATATGACGGTGCTGGAGATGGATTGTCAAACGCAGAGCGAATGGGATCGAAGTTTTGTCCGCTAGTTCGCTGAGGTGGTGGTTGTGGCACTGGAGGTTGCGATTGCGATTGCGGGCGAGAGTGTTGCGACAGCTGATACGAAGTTGGAGCTGTAGGAGGGTGTGGAGTTGAGTAAGAAGTTGGGGCAGGTTGAGGAGGCTGAGGTTGAGGTTGAGGTGTTTGAGTAGGCTGAGGAGGTTGAGGAGGTTGAGCGGGTTGGGCGGGTTGAGCAGGTTGAGGCGTTACAGGGGCGTATGGAGGGCTTCGGGCGTCTAACGGAGCCCTCGTTTGCTCTGCCGCAGGCTCCAGCTTGGGCTTTTTCCGGGAAGCAGTGTTGTTTGATTTCTCTCGTGGACGACGAGGAGCTCGGACCGGTTTTTCTTTAGTCTCTTTGGGTTCCTTATCCTTCTTTTTGGGGTCGGGGTCGTCATCCTTCTTACGACGCGACCGCCTGGCGGTACCGGAGGCACGTCGGGCGCCTGTGCCGGGTTTGGCATCGTCAATGGGCCCTTCTTCTTTAGGTAAACTCATATTAGGAGGATCCGACATAATTTGACAAGTTGACAAGCAACAAATTGATAAAATGACAAAATGATGGAATTTGGTCAAAATCAAGATGAAGAATCGGGGAGTCGAAAGTGGTGAAACGTGTCGGTATCAGGTCGGGAAAATAAATATTGGGGGGAAGAGGAACACAAGAAAGATGAGATGGGCGAAGAGAGAAACTAAGAAAACGCGGGAAAAGTAGAAAAAGAAAGGGACGCGGAAGAAGGGGAAAATGTTGACAAGAGAGAACAGAAAATAAGAGGGAAAGGAGGGAAAAAAAGGAAAAAAAAAGAGGGAAGAAAGGGGAGAGAGAAAGCAAGCAGATTGGAATTAAAGCATATTACATGGCAAAGTACTCCGTACTGGACTACAATTTGATATGTCAAGCTTCTATAGGAAAATATGGGGGAAATTACTATAAAAGTCATATTCACTTATCATAGAGCTATATCTCTACAATATGTATATTCTATTTTTCCGTACTGAGGTCATTGTTGAGTATTGAAATTCCATATCCCATCTTCCCCTGCGAAACTCTTAGCCCAGAAACCGTAAGTTGTACCTGATACAGGGATGGCTTCATTTACCCAACCTCGTGTTTTTCAGATCAGGTGATCATATTTGGAGCTTTAGATCTGACTTGGGCTTCTTAGTTCTTTTATTTCATAGATAATACAAGTCAAGGTAACATCGATCCTGCTTGTGTATCCCTCATGGAAGCTTATGATAGGTATAAATATTGACTTCAATGATCGTAAATATCCTTCAGCTTAAGAAGAAGGAGAAAAGGGAATATGCTTTATTATATAATAATCGATTTAGATAATCCATTAGTATCCAAGTCCGTCATATACAGCATAGAAGATATACGCGAGTTGTATAGATGCCACGGATCAATGTGAGGAACCCAATTGGGACTAGCATATCCGCCATCTCTCACTAGCCTATTTTGGTTAGACTCTTCTGCAGCCCCATTTTAACTTTGGGAGCCGCATCCATGGCATCTCCCCGCGCTGACATAACTTTTTTTCTCCTCTTCACCTTATTTACACATCATGGCATTTCGCGGTGAACGCTTCCTACTTGATCTGGATGAGGAATCTGGTGCTCCAGAAATCCCTTCTCCATTCTCCCTCGTCGGTGAAATCCAAGAACGCGCTTCCTCCACCGCCATTCCCCCCGCGCCTAAACTGCCGACCTCGTCAGCATCATCGACTGGGTTCCCTGCCCCTCGCCAGCGCAAGGCATCTTCTTTTAAACAACGACGATCAAATCAGCCCACTCCTCCGACTCCTCCCCCTACTGAACCGACCGCCCAAGATGACAAGAAATCTATCGACGAGGAGAACCGCCGTCAGCTGGCGGCCATGTCGGACGCGCAGATCCAACAGGAACGAGAGGAGCTGATGGAACAGATGGATCCAGGACTTCTAGAAAGATTTCTCCGCAGAGCAAACATTGAAGAGGACGAAAAGACAGAATTTTCACCGCCAGCACCTGTGGCAGACGAGAAATCTAAACCGAGGAAATCAGTTTCGTTCGACATTCCTCCGTCTGCACCGGTTGCTGCACCACCAAGCGCACAGGCTCATTCTCTACCCAAACAATCACCTAAGCCGCAC